GTGAATACATGCGAGTTTTTTTTCTGAGAAGAGTGTTTACATTTCCTTCAACAGTCTCAACAAGAGCTGCTGGAACTGCCGACAAGAGCACGATGGCCACCCATCACCATGCATGCGGCTGACAGGTGAGAGCAGCCACCTGTGCGGCTCTCCAGGTGACGGGTTCCCTGCAGCCCAGGCATCTGGCTCCTCCCCTTTCCGTTCCCTGCTCCACGCAGGGTGTTTCCTGCAGACCCCACCCCTTCAAGGTGTCACACAGCATATTCCCTCTCAGAATAAGGCGGACGCTCACAGCACCGCGCTTTCCTCTAGGAGGCCAGATACAACTACTGACAGCCTTCCCTGCGTCCAATGGCAGTCCCGGAACCAGCCAGGGAAGAATGAGAAGCCATCGATCCCACCCTCCAGGGGCCTATCTGGGTGGCATGGGGTTAGGGAGCAGCCCCACGGGAAAAGGCTCAGCTCCGGGGTTCCGTGAGGGCTGACACAGTGACTGATTGTGACAAAGTCAGTCCAGCACACAAACTGGAAAAAGGAGACATGTCTGCCGCGCTCCCGTTTCTCGTATTCTCTTCCTTATTTAGAAAACTTCAGTCCACGAGTGTTCCTTTGTTTTGAAAAGTTTTGAAAACTCCCAGAAATAGAAATGAAGCATTTGATACAATGAAGAGGTCTCGATATGCACTCAGGAGCAAGGGCTGGGATCTGAAGGGCCGTCCGTCTCAGGAAAAAGAAACCCTTGGGCCCCGATCCTGTGTGTGAGGCCTGGAGCTGCAGAGAAGCCAATGGCAGCCTCCAGCACTGTACACAGTGGTGACAGCTATCAGCACCAGCTCCGGCACAGGGCCCCCTGCCTGCTAGCTGTGTGGATGGACTTGGGAAAGTCCCCTGACCTTTCTGTTTCCTCTTTATCTGGAAGTGGAGATCACTGAGCCTCATGAGGTGGTGGCCAGGACTGGGAAGGCGCCACAGGAAACACTTGGCAAGGCAGCTGGGGGCGGGTTTTATTTAAGGTTGTCTTTTTTTGGGGGGGGGGGGGGGGGGGGGTGTTGGGAAATGCTACCTACTGTGACTAGTACCATAGCTGCAGGCCCAGCAGGGTGAGCTCAGCTCAGCTCAGGGTTAAGGGCAGCAGAGACAGGAAGGCTACACACCCAGGTACCGCAGGCAAGAAAAAAGATGCGAGGACAGGAATGAGGCTGCTTTCATAAGCTCTACCACACAAACATTTAAGTGAAAGATTTGGGTTAAAATTTAAAGTGAATCCTCACTACAGTCATTTAAGGTAAATTATGTCTCCTATTACAAAGTAGTTGTTCTTCAGATTCAAGGCAAAACTGCTTTAAAGCTAAGTTACAGCCTTAAGGAGGAAACCACTGAACCGTTGCTCTCCCTCCTGGCCCCCATGAATGAATGAGTCTCGGAATACACACCTGAATACACACCTATGTGGTGGGGTTCCTGTGTGTTTTGGTTTATTTGTTTTGGAGTTGGGCTGGGGGGTGGGGACTTCAGTGGTGGTCTGTGATCATATGCCTGGCAATTCTGAATGATTAAATCTTGGATGTAGTCAAAGTAATCCTTTGTTTAACTTAGGAGAAAAAGTTAATTTACTTAAGCTTCTCTAGATAGTTTGAATAATGAAAGTCCTAGTAAATCAATTCCTTAAAAGTAAGTTTCTTTATTCAAAAAAGCGAACTCTAGAGTTAAAACAGTGAGGCCATAAAAACTCTCTCCTGCCTACCCCACGACCAACTTACAGCAGGATATACCAGGCGTATTCCCTCACAGGTTAGTAATTCACACCTATGACCCCGGGCCTCCAGGATTAACATTCATAAACACGAATGGAGATTTTGGAAACTGGCATGTGAGCTAACTAGTCATACACGCTTCCTCTCTGAGTCACACAGCCCGATTTTCAGGGATAAGGCATTCCTCTCGAACATTGCCTTTTGAGGAGCAAACACATCAGACCAACGGCAACCTCACAGACCTGTAAAAACGAGATAAGGACCTCACTCTAATAGGTAAATAGTCCAATCAACTTCGAGAGAAAACAGTGTTGCAACTATAAATAACCTGATTTCCTGTGCTCAGCATAAGTGGCAGTTTAGAATGCAGGGTTTAAAAATTTTTTTATTAAGGAGGCTTCCGCTCTGTGACGTTATTTCTGGCTGCCCAGAAACTAACTCTTAAAGAAAAAGGGAAATTTAGTCTCCATCTTTGCCCTAGTGGGACACTCTTAATATGTGAGAAAAGACCTAACTTAGTATTTCTATAATTTAACTGCTTGAGGAAGTGACCCATCTAAAACAAACCGTAGGATCTCAGGACTCAAAATCTCCAGCTGAGCTCCGGCAGGACCAGCCCCCAGAGCACCGCCTTCGTCCCCGAGTTCATCAACACTCCCACTCAGGTAGGGACCTTGGCACAGGTGCCTAGTGGGATGGGGCTTGGCAGACTGTGCCCACGCTCTACCCAGACAGACGCTCTCCGGACAGGACTGATGTTTGTCAGTTCATGCTAGTCAGGATGCGGAAAGCCACCAGAGGTGACACAACCCATCTCAAACACGGGAAGTTACAAAAGTGGGAGAAGTGCATGGTTTCCACACTGCCCCTCCCACGCTGGCACCGACTACCATGAAGGAGCTGGGCTCCTGCCCTCATCCTGCCGTTTCCTTTGCCAGGTGAGGTGGAGCTTGGCCATTCCGCTTCCTCCTGCCAACCCCGGCTCTCCTTTGACACTGGGGTGGCCCCCAGCCCTCCTTCCCCACTGCAGACCCCAGTTCCCAGACAACAGGGTCACTTAATGGAGAACACAACGGGCAGCAAACAAACAGTATGCAATGCCCAGAGGCCTCCAGCCGGAACACTGCCTTGCCCAGGGTGGCTGCGGGATGACTCCCTTCTAAGGCGCCCCACCTCCACGCTCCAAGAGTGTTTGCTATTATTCACTGAGAGCAACCCTCCCACCGGTTCACAATTGCTGATTGGAAATCCCGGGACCAGGTATGTCTCAGGGTTCAATGAGAAAGGCTGTAAGGTGCGGCCACCACACATCCTGCCACAATCCCGAGTTACAGCCTTTAACCAAGTCCGTTAACGGGGCTGCAGAGGAATGTATGGGCGTGCTCACACGCAGAGGTAAAGACTGAAAAGTCGCCCACCAGCCAGGGCAGGTCTCACTGCCAAATGAATTCTGCCACAAACTTACCCAAAAAAGCAACAACTTTTGGTTTTCAGAACTTACTGGATCCTGGAATTGGGAGGGCAGCGATTTTCAACCGTTTCCATCTCATGGCACGTACGTATTAGTTACTAAAATTCTGCGGCTCACCAAAATACATATTTCCTACCAATCTGACCAAAAAAGTAGGTATACTTTTGATTCATTCACACTGGATGGCTATTGTTGTGTGGACTGTTGTCACTTTTAAATTTGATAATCTAAGGGAAAGCAGGTCAGTGCCCCTCACTAAACAGTCAGGTATTGCATGTTTCAAAACGTCTTGCGGCACACGGACTGAAAATCGCTGGAGGAGGGGATGGTGGACCAGTGAGGATGGAGCACCTTCTCACCCAGGGCCCGGTCCAGACTCCCCTCTCACTATTTCTATGAAGCAGGCGTCTCAGCCAGACCCAATCTAGGGTTCCGTGAAGGGTTAAGGAGACTTTTGCTATTTCTACTCATTCCTCTGATGGACAGGTCCCTCCCTCCTTCACATCCTCGTTCTCCACGTTTACTCTTTTCTTTTTTAAAAAGTCCCCGCCCAGAGTTCCTTCCTCTGAGCCAGAATCTCGTCCAGGATTAACATCGCCGGTCCTGGCCATCTAAGGCTTGCCTAGATGGCTCCTCGGGACGTCGGCCTCTGGCAGCATTCCGCCCTTCCTTCTCCAAGGGCCCTTCCCTGACGGGGATTCCAGGGCCCCTCTGCAGGTTCCCAGGCCTAGAAACCGACTGGGTTAAGGGGTAGGAACCAGGGGCAAAGGTCTGGCCCAGGGCAGGAGCTCTACGTGAGGTCCCAGAAGCAGCACAGTAAAATGGACGCTACAAACCCACCTGACCATCCTCAGCAAGGAAGTTATCTCCCAAGTGTGCACTCAGCAGAGTCTGTTTCTATACCTTTCTCCGGTTTTACCTACTGGGAAACTCCTTCAAGGTAAGGGCAGTCTTCTCATTCTGAATCCCTCACAAACACCCAGCAGGTGATTAATTCCTACCTGGTGAAGGAGTGATTGTTTTGGGCTCAAGTTCTCTGTAGTATAAACGTTAAACATCGTAACATGTTTCTTTTCCAAAGTGCATCCTATCACCTTTGGATATTCACGACCAAACACAAGCCACAGGAGGGTGGGTAACAACGAACCTTCCCCACCTCACCCCGGCCCAATTTTAACCCAAATACCCCACAGCCATGGGTGTTAAGCCAGATAACTGTGAAATCCTGCAGGGTCCTGCCCAGACCCCCAGACCCCCAGGCCCCAGGAGACCAGCCAAAGTCTATTTGGGGACTGGGGTCCTTGGGGGAGGTGGAGAAGTCCTGCTCGGGTCAAAGGTCCAGGGCAGGGTAAGTGCTCAGAACCGCCAGGCCACAGACTGCGCCAGCCTCAGGGCAAGGGCCCCGCTCTGGGCACCGGCTCCTAGCGCTGTATTTTGTAAAATACCAAACGACCAGCTGGGAGGGGCCCTGTAGTGCGGGCCTCAGACCTTCGCCCAGCCACACAGCTGGCAGAACCGGTCCCAAGGTCCGTTCGTTCGTTCGTTCGTACTGGGAGGGGCGCCGTCCAACGAAACCTGCTCTCCTCGCAGGAGGAACTGAACGCACTGAACGGAGAGCAGGGCCTCCCCCCACCCGCACATCCTCGCGTGGGGACGTTCACTTCAGGGGACCCCGGCCAGGCGGAGCCCACCCCACCCCAGCGCAGCCAAAGAGCGCCAACAAGGACCAAACGTTCGCAGCCCGACGCGAAAGTTTCCCAGTGTTTTCCTCTTACCAGCTTCTGAGCCTCGGGGCTCAGACAGTCTATTTCCTTGTTCTGCGTGGCCGCCGGGTTGGTCATCCTGCCGCCGCAAGTCCCCTCCGCACCGCCGGGAAAGACTCGGAACGCGGGCTGTCGGTCCGCGGGCGCAGGCTCTCAGCTCAGCTGCATCCCGAGCGCGGCGGTTCCA